TCAGGACCTGGGGCTTTCCCAGAGGCAAATGATTTAACAGAATCAGAGATCTCTTTCATGGTCAGTGGTTGGTTTAAGACCTTTCGAGCAGGACTCTCAAGCATTGGGATGGGGACTCCCTCTAGCCAGGAATCTATGTTCCCCTGTGCTTTTGTTCTGTATAATTCCTTGTAAAACTCTGTGAAACATTTGTTTATAGATTTTGGAGTAGTAATAATTTCACCTGTATTGGACCTAATTTTGTGTATTGCTCTACTGTTCTGTTGGCCTCTTAGTTGTCGAGATAGGAGAGTATGTGGCTTGTCTCCAAGCTCAAAATAACGCACTCGTAACTGAGAAATTTGGTAACTTACTTGCTTTGTCAAAATGGTATTGTATTCATATTTAAGAGTAAATGGTTTTTTCAGTGTTTATTTGAGTTTTATCTATTGAGGGTGAGCCAGCTCTGTGGTTAATTGTATAGTCAGTCACATCACACAGGAAATATTGAGCATTAGTCTTGTGGTGGACCACAAGACTAATGTGGTCCACCACAAGTCTTGTGGTGCTTCGCGCTTCAGATCCCATTTTAATCACAAGGAAGTCAAGTCAAAGATAATGTCACAATAATATTTTAACTGTTAGAGCACCTTAAAAGAACAAAACACACTTTACAATGACCTCATATATACACAAGGAGTAGGAACATATCCTGTTGAATCCGAGTAGATTTAAGTCCAAAGGGACTGTAATGAGAAACCTATACACTCCATTTCCTTAAACTTCAAACAAGACAACTATCTCAATCCTTGTTAACCCAGAAATATATATTTTAACAAGGAACAGAAAGTTTTTCCACATTTTGGCAACAATTAGGAGCATTATTGCCTGAACAGCTCCCCACCTGCCTCCCCGACATGACTCTGAGATACTTTAACTATTTAATACCCATAACTGTTACCCTACAAATATTAATGTCGGGTTTTTAGCAGGTGCACTTTCTTAGAAACCGCTGGTCATCGAGCCTCATGATGGGTTTCTGCAGATCTGAGGTCAGTGTATAAACTGCTGGTGCATTACCCAGCTTATTAAGGGCCTTTGAGAATTGACTTTACCAACCCATTCTTCCTGGATCCTCCAAGGCATTAGGCTGTTTGGTGACACTCATATAGCGGCCTTCACTTTGATGATTGTGAGCTAAACCAAGACATTCCAACAACCTAACAGGGCCTATTCAATTCCATAAGCATAGACTGCTTTGCGGCTCTTCATGTCATTGTGGGCCAGAAACAGAAGAAGAGATGAGGTATCAGGTGCATCCCCACTAGGGGTGTGGGAAATAATAGTTTTGGCGATATATGGTGATATTCGCCTCCCCAATTTAATATTGATCTTTCCCTTTCCACAATGAGGGAAAATGGGCTATCTCTGCACCACCACTCTGGCAGAAGGCGCTGTGCGGCAAAGATGGCACTCTTTGCTGTGCGGCGCAGTGCCATATCTGTAATTGAGGCAGTCAAAGTGGAAGACGTGGACCAACTCAAACCCCAAACAACATAGATATCAAAATAACTACATTATCAATATCTTCTGACGAACATATATGACACTTGTTTTTTTATCTATACATTTTATTTTGATAACTGGGAAAAATATGTCAATATACAGTGATATTGCAATATCCTGATAATATTGTATCGTTATCCAAGTATTGTGACATGTATTGCAAGCCCCATGCCAATACTCACCCCTAATCAACACTTGGTCACTGCACCAAGATCTCCTTACCAACACTGATGGTCACATCGATTTAAGATGTGAAGGGAAGAGTTAGCCATAGGAGTGAAGAGGGGAGGGAGGAAGAAGCAGATGATGGGTGACAAGCGGAAGAGAACGAAGAGGACGACGAGATTAAGCAAAGTGAAGTAGGAAACACCATAAAACAAAATTAACTAGTTTTAGATGCAGGTGGAATTTTCGGATCGGTTTTGATTTAAAATAGGTCTTTACAGTGAATTGAATCTCTAGGAATCCAAGGATTAGGGCCTAATCTGGGCCTTTTGATATTTGAAAACAGCCTGGAAAACAGTTAGCTTCAGGTTTAGCTTGTAGTTCAAGATATAGGTTTGGATGCTTTTTGTTCTATCATACTTACTTTAAATTGTATATGCTGTCTATTTAGAAATCCTTAATGAATCTACCATTGAATACACACACACTTTGTATAGTGACTTTCCATGGACAGCCATTCATTTTGCATTAATTTGTATCCTTACCCTACTTCTACCAATTACCAACCTAACCACCCAAATTTAATTCACACCTCAATCCTTAACTCAACCCCCAAAACCAGAAGAGAACCTCTACTCATTAATTTACTCCTACAATTGAGATGATCTTGAAATGATTATCCACGCCTTTGTGTCTTCCCGTTTAGACTACTATAACAGTCTTTTCTCATGTCTAAACAAAAAGTTGTTGTTTCATCTTCAGCAGGTTCAGAACTCTGCGGCGAGGTTACTGACACATACAAACAGAACGGCTCATATTACGCAAATTCTAAAAGCTCTTCATTGGCTCCTAGTGTAATTTCAGTTCCAGTTTAAAATCCTGGTGCTGACCTTTAGACAATTCACAGTCCATCCTACATTAGAGACTTTTTGTGTCCTTAAACCCCCTCTCAGAGGCTGAGGTCTCAGGACCACAACCTGCTCATGGGCCCTCGTACTTGTTACAGGACCAAGGGAGATTGCTCCTTTCAGGCGGTCACACTCTGGAACAATCTCCTGCTTGCACTTGCTTGATTCTGTTGATTTTTTAAGAGCGAACTGAAACCCTATTTGTTTAAGAAAGCATTTTAATTCTAGTAGATTAGGGGTTGTTTAATAACCATGTCTTTTGCGACTGTAAATGTATTTTTATTTGTATTTTAATTCTATGAAGGATTTTTTGACCTCTATGTTTGCGAAAGGTGCTATATAAAAAAAAACAATACTTACTTACAAGTAACTTGTGAGTCCCTATAACGTGGCATATTCCTGGGAAATTGGCCTGTCCCCAGAAGGTAACCAATAAACGCCCGCAAGTAGTTAGTTAGTTAGTTAGTTAGTTAGTTGGTTGGTTAGTTGGTTAGTTGGCTCCACAGTGGTGCAGTTCGTAGCACTGTTGCCTTGCAGCAAGAAGGTTCTGGGTTCTTTCCTCATGGACTTTGCATACTCTCCCTGTGCAGCGTGGGTTCTCTCTGGGTACTCCAGCTTCCTCACACACAGTAGTTTGTCAGAGGTCTGTTGTGTGTCTCTCTGTGTCCCCTGCCTCCCCATACAATGCCAGAGATAGGCACTGACTCCACCACTACCCTAATTCAGTAAGCAGGGGAAGATGGATGGATGTTACTCATGATTCCACTGGGGGTGGAATAAAGCCCTGTTTAAACCAAGGTCCCCTTCTTCATTTTATTCACTTGTATCCACCCAAAGAAAACATTTAAAGTTTATTACAGGGGAAATCACAAAGTAGTATCACAGTATCATCAGCATAAAGATGTGATTTTTCATTCCAGTCATTTGAAAACAATCTGATTCCCCACAAGGCGGTCTCTGTTTCAGAATGTCTTCACCCCCTGACTTGGAAGTATCTTAAGGATTGCAGTCTCATCTTGAAACTATTAGCCTCTTCTAAATAAAAGAGCATCATAGCTGAGCCAATGCTGTTTCTCAGTGAGCAAACACTTAAACTATGAATCTCAAGCAGGAAAATCTGATGGACCCCCAGAAAAAAAGTAAAAAGAAAAGAGAGAATCATTCAGGTGTTCCAATTGTGGCCTCACATGGACCCAACAGGCCAATCAGCAGTTAGTGGCCGAGCACAGCGTCCAATCAGGGAGCTATGTGGGCAGGTAATGCTCCGCAGATATGAGCAGTGTTACGTAACCAGTGTGTCTGTGTTGCTAGGAAACAGTGCCCATAGGTGAAGGCATTAAAACCATCCGTCCTCCTACACACACCAACAGAAACGTACCTGTGTGAAAGCACTTTAGAAAGAAATAATCAGGTTTTTCTCTTCAAACACTCCTACACAGTGCAGCAGTGGGATTTAATGTGTGTGCATGTCTTCCCTCAGTCTGTTTGTGTGTGTGGGCTGCAGCTTCTCTATGCTCTGTGATAATATGCGATATTATACAATATAAGCAGAGAACAGAAACAGACGCCTGCAGAGAAACTCATCAATCATTTAGAAAAAGTCCTCAGAGCAGCTCCTCCAGTAAGAGCAGCAGGTCTAAACATGGCTGCTTTCATTACGCTTCCCTGAACATCAGACTGGGTCCCTCTGCTGTTATTCATTCAGAGTCCATCACAGAATAACATTAAAGCCACAGAGATGATTCAGATGTAGTTCCTGACCCAATTATTTTATTTTGAAGGCCATGAAAGAGCCGAGCAGCTTACAGTACCTGGACGTGGGAACAAAAACTTGACAATAGCCTCAGACTTCAGCTGACCAATGGGCCGGGAATTGGTCATCAGGTTCAGACTGGGTATTAAAACATCTCTTCCTTTCAACCTGAATGATTGACCCAAAGAAGCTGTTAGAACCTAAACCGGTGATCATTTTATGAACTGGATGTATCAAACAATGAGAACATCAAGAACACGGCTGCCTCTGTAATAACCTGTAATTACTGCGCTATAAAAAAAGGGCTGTACACTCAGGCCATCATTAAAGAAAGCATGCTCCTTCCTCAGTGCCTTTAGAGACTGTAGAAACACCAGTGTCTATGTCTGTGCTGGCACTTAAGAATGTGACGAGCCTTCAAGCAATTCCCATTTCCTGCTCTGTTCTCATCAATCAAATCCCATTCAATCCATTAAATTTGCTGTTTCACTGTCTGCTGTGAGACATTAGGCTCAGATCTGATCCATAATTCTCACTTGAGTTTGTTCACAGCGATTCTACCGTTGCCATGAATCAGTGGCTGATGCTGCGAGTCTGTCTGATTAATAAAACCTTTTTTTCTCTTTTAGTTCGGCTCCATGACAGCATTTCAGAGGAGGCTCACCACTACCTCATCTTTGACCTGTGAGTTGATCGATCTATCTATCTATCTATCTATCTATCTATCTATCTATCTATCTATCTATCTATCTATCTATCTATCTATCTATCTATCTATCTATCTATCTATCTATCTATCTGTCTGTACTTAAGGTAACGGCTTGTAACAGTGCCATCTAGTGTTCAAATTGAGAACTGTAGTTATAGCTGACTGGTGTGTATAAACAGGTTTTTATGTTCTGTAAAACTCATCATACTATTACAGAGAAACAAGTGAAGACCGTAATTTAATTTCAGTGATTTTTGTTGACTAATTCACTTCCATCTGTCTCTTTGGGAACTTTCACTGCGCTTTTATGACATTCCTACCATTTCAAAGTTCCCAAAAAAAAAAAAAAATGAAAAACAATCCACTGGACTTTGTTTTCAAGTTTGTAGACGGTTCTTTTCCCGTCCAGGCAGCTTTTTCAATTCAAAATGTCAGGAATAGCGTTGAGTTCAAGGTTTTATACAGTAGCCCAACAAAGCCTTGTTTTTGTTTTGAAAATGTGTAAATTGGAACAGACGAAGGGGTACACCGCTTTGGAATGGGGGTCGTTTGGCTTCTTTTGTCAGCTTGCAATGCCTTTCACCAGCATATTCCTCTGAAGAAAACTAGGTTTCAGAATGCCCAGAAATCCCAACCATCAGGATGAGGCTGCAGAGCTTGATCAAAGTAAAACAGGCCACCATGTGGTTTCATACTGAGCCTGCAGCAATGAGTATAAATCATTGATCAGGAACACCCGGCTCATTGATTTTAGATCACGCCCAGCAGTCCTTCACTAAGAAACATTAAGATGGATCCATTTAAGGTGGAGGATCCATCAGCTGCTGTTGAAAAGCCGTATCTGAATGACGTCTCGGTGCTGATCCGCTGTGTAGACGGCGTGGATCCGTTTCACTGCTTTCTCTGTGTTGACTCAGTTGTGCTGTGAACCAAACACCTCCTTCTCTTACATCACCTTCTCTATTGTTTCAGCCAAATAAAAGGAGTATTTATAGAAACACGCTGGTTCTAATGCGGAGCAGTTTGTGGGGTTTATTTCACAGCAGCAGGTTGGAGCCGTCTCTTTATGAATAAACCGTTTTAAGCTCTTTCTTCCAGTAATTCAATGGATTTCACTTGTTTGTAACATTTTTGCCTTCATTTAAACTCCATGAAATAAAGAAAGGCAATTTTTTTCTAATTGGATCTGTTATTTGGTTTAATCTTATTAAATTGAGTGAAGTTAATTCGGTCTAAAATCTGTTCTACTTTTGAACAGCTTCATTTTTTACTCCAATTAGATCATGTGTTACCTTGACATTAATCGTCATGGTTCAGATTATTTCCCAGATCAGTGAGTTTCTCTGCTCTGTGGGTCTCAGGGTCACAGGTGGAGAGCTGTTTGAAGATATCGTAGCCAGAGAATATTACAGCGAAGCCGACGCCAGGTGAGAGCGCATGATCCTCCTCCAAACCTCATTATACTTTCCTCCAGGCTTAGTCTGAGTGTATGTGAACTTTGACCTTTATCTGCAGCCACTGCATCCAGCAGATCTTGGAGGCGGTGCTTCACTGTCATCAGATGGGTGTGGTCCATCGAGACCTGAAGGTATGGTCCGACAGATTCTCCACAGTCTGAAGTCTAGATGATAGAGGGACTCAGATTTTTATTTTGAAGTTTAAAATATTGGTGCAGCAACGTTTTCGTATTCTTGTAGAAAATTTCTCTTTTCTCCTTCCAATGTGACTGATTTGATTCCACAAATGTTCTTAGCTTCAGTAAATGATCCTGCTAAACTTCATGCAGTCCACCTTTGTTCTGTGAAATGTAAATCTGCATAATTACCTCCCCGATTATGCCATATAAGGCTACAACTTCCCACGCTGTCAGAAGGTGTTCATTCATAAAAATGCCTTGAAGACAATAGAAGAAAAACTTAAAGGTTCAGAGATGGAGGTTCTGCTGACTGAGAGCTGAGCAGCAGGATTAAAGGACCAGAAAAAACCAAGCAGTGAAATAAATCACAGAGCTGGAAATGATGTAGTTGGACTGTTACAGAAGTAAAAATAAAATAAAAAAATGAAATAATATTAAAAAAAATAATATTTGATCTGAAAACAGTCGAAAAGTACTAATAGAGGCAAGAGGACCAATATCTTATGTAAATATTAATATGAGTTCACCATCAACCAACACAACAACATTCTGCTAAATCTTTTAATTCACACACATACCTGTGCTGTACATCTCCAGACCTCGTCTGTCATCCCTTCATCCATTCTCCATCTTTCTCAGACATAAATATAAAAATGTTAACGATTAAACTCTAATCTATTGAATTCAGACCCAAACATCCACATTTAGTGTAATAACAAAGCCAAGGAGCTGCCATGGAGGGAAATGAATGAAAGTCTGAACGTTAGAGGAGCTTTGCTGAACTTTTAACCATTTTCTGTTCCAGATGTTATTTCAATAGTAGCTTGATCTCACATAGAATCACTGACTGTTCTTTCTTTGGATGAAATTACATCCCCTGGATACTGACATGCCAGCTGCAGGTGAAGTGACCCATAGTTCTGTCATCAGCTAATAAAAATATAATTTATAATTGCAGGGCTGCATAATAATGATGCAGCCTAATAAAATGGACCATTCCTTCTAAGTAACAACAAATGTTGTCATTTAACCAGCATATGTTCATACATGGGCCATAAGATACAGGTAAGTTATCTGATCATTGACATAAGTTACTCATAAGTCGTGACATCTAGTTTATCCAAAACCTCTGAATAACTTGTGCATTATTTATGCTTAACTTATCAAGAACTTATCTCTACTGGATATCAACGTATCTGACATGTTCCAGACGAGCACTGAACATGTTTCTAACTTACAGCTACTGTATAATGGCGTATTGGCAGCATTTTGGTATAAAAGAGGTTAAAAGGAGGAAACTATCAGTTCTCCTCCAGACTTCATCCCCATCATAGGGTGAGAGAGAAGGTGAGTGTGATAGATCCTCCCTCTGTTCACGCCAACGGCCAACAAACTTCCCAGCAGACCTGACGCTTACTTTCTTTTTCTTTGTTTATTTATTCTTTTTTTCTGGCAGGTGGTAAACAGCATTTCGGTTAATACTGCAATTAAATAATTTTTAGGCATGTGCATCATTTCATGGGCATTACACCCATACATAAGTTAGGCTCGTTTGTCGTTCGACATACGCTCTGGACTCGTTATGAATACTCTATGTATATGCCCAAACTTGAAAAAATACATAGAAATGTTGGCATATGCCGGCATTTTTGGAGATTCTGGGATGTCATGCATACGCTGGCTAAATCGCCAAGGTGTGACAGGGCCCTAAATTACAGTGGGTTTGTTAAAGCGGGTGAAAGATGGAATCTTTAATTCCAACACCACTGCGATAAGCAAACTGCAGGGGATCCTGACAGCTGCTTGTTTGTTTACTGAGGTGAACCAACAGAAGTGTCTCTAGGACCTTCCTGATGTGGGATGTCTGATCTGTAGCCATTGAGGACTGCTGCCTGAGTCTTTGGTTAGATTTTGGACAATATGCAAACCAAGTGTTGTCGAATTAATCATGTTTGAAAGGGTTATATGGGTTTTAAAGTGTTTTGGCTTCCATAACGAACTAAATATAACAACAAAACTAACATTTCATAGCAAAATGTTACCTCAGAGAGATTGAGATATCACCGCTGTTCCGGTCCTGATGCATATCTAACTGGAGCAGATGGCTCAGTAAACAGGAGATACTGCAATCGGATGCCGACTGAAAAATGTGATGGGGATCAATTTAAATGCTGGAGAGACTTTAAATGGAAGAAAACAGGATGTATTTTCTCTGGCTATTTTCTCATGCAAAGCAGCGGACATCGCTCCACCAGCAGCTGCTGCTTTTCACTCCTATCACATGAGATTTTTCGCTATGATTTGTTTTTAAGTTAAAAAATTTTTATCACTGCGCAAGATTTCTCAAAACGACACCTATGGTTCAGAAAAATAGCAGGATGCTGCTGAACTGAACTTTCATAATGAAATTGCCACAAAAGGATAAGCTGTGTGGCTATGTCTGTGTCTGATTGTCCGTCCTAACTCCTAAATCCCTCAGTCACCGAATAGAGCGGGGACTATGAAGTTGACTTTATTAGGAACTCAGTTAGCTAACTGTTTCGACAGATGATCACTGCTTTTCGCTCAATGTTGGTCACCTAACTCCACCTCCCCACCTGCGGGTCTGCGCCATCTTTGTTATTTGTTGCCGCCACAAGAAATTCCATGGTGCTTTTTACGAGGAGAGCTCTTGCAAAGCAAATGGGATATATCTGTTGTCTAGTGACCATGGTTGATCACTACTTTTCAGGGTGCAATGTGGGGAATTTAGAGTAGAGTCCTGCACGGGTCGACCCGTTTATTTTTATTTACTTATTTTTCACCCGCAAAAGAGCATTTTAGCGGGTGACCCGTCGGGGACCCGCGGGTACCCGACCCGTTGCAGGACTCTAATTTAGAGTCCACTATTTATTCATCCACTAGCCATTCAAATGCCCAGCTAAAATGGTGTAACCACTCTATAGTGCCCTATATAGATATTAGAGCGGACGTTTGGACCCAGCCTATGATGTTCCTTTTCCAATATAGCAATTAGCAATTCTTTCCCTGCTCTCTCTCTGCTCTGTTGGGGTAACCGGCTTATTATTATAGGGTTGTGGTCCATCATAGGTGAAGTTGTACAGATTTAAATCCTCTTTAAATTCTGATGTCCAAATTAGCATTGCTATCCCTTGTTTACTGCTGTAAAGTTAAGGGGACTATCCAACATCATGTCACTTTCGGTACCCTTGTTTTATTCACAGAAGTAAAACATTCTCACAAAAATAGCCCAACAAGCTTAAATCCTTTATATTAAAGTCATTTAGATTCAACAACACCCGATTTCTAAAATATTATAAATGATAAAAGTGAGGGTCTAACCTTCAATCTTGTCATGATCTGCCTGATAGCTCGCCTAAATTACTCATGCCTTTCACCTGCTTCACTCTTTCCAGTTCCTAATTATCACTCATCACATCCACCTGCCGGTTTCCCTTATATTGGGCTCAGTTCCAGCTATCATGGCCAGATCATTGTTTGATTTCTGTTTCTCCAGTCAGTCAGTTTTGTTAAGTTTAATTAGTTCAAAGGTTCTTATCCCTGTTCCAGTGAGGACTTTATTCTTTAGCCAGTGTCCTCAGGCGAGTTATTCCCTAACAAGTGGTGAGAGTGTTTCAGTGATTCTGTTTGCCTGATTCTGTTCCCTCTCACCCACTGATCCTGTCTGTCCCTGCCTGATCTGCCCACCTGAACCTCAGTTGACTCCTGCTGGATTCTGCCTCTTTGTGCATTTTCTGTCTGAGCTGGATGCTGGACGCACAGGTCTCTGAACCTGCCTTTGCACTCTGATGGATTCCTGGAACCTCTATCTGTCTGTTCCTGAGTGGACCTTACTGTTAAACCAGAATCGGTGATGGGTTGTGCCCCACACCTGCCGTCGTTGCGGTCGCAGTTCCATAGCAGCGCGCTATTGTTCTGTTTTTGTTCTAATAAACGTTTTGAACTTTCCTACTGGCTGTGTCACCCTAAATACTGGGTCCATATGTTCTATTTTATGACAAAGCTTCTCTTTAAATCTCTGTTTGCTGGTATGGTATTAAACACACAATACTGCATTGTCGACATTCTGCCAGGGTCCTCACTGGAGTTTGGAGTTAGCAGACTTTATGTAAAACACAGAGCAGCTAGATTTTTCAGCACAAATTTTGTAAAGCAAAGGGCAGGGTTAGCATGTTATCATGTGTCTCTTGTCTTCAGCCAGAGAACCTGCTGCTGGCCTCCAAATCTAAAGGAGCAGCCGTGAAGCTGGCAGACTTTGGCCTGGCCATTGAGGTGGAGGGAGACCAGCAGGCTTGGTTTGGTGAGGCAGTCCTGACCGCAGTACTCATTCACTTATTTTACTGAAAAATCCTCTCCATCTGTTTCATATAGTCCAGTTACTCTACTTATTATGTCTTTGTATTAATAAATGTGCATTCTGTTTATTCAGTGGGTTTTGTTTTTTGTTTTAAAGAAACTTTGAGTTTAGATTTTTTTTTTTTGCCTTTTTCCTCAGAAAATAAAATGTAAAAATTTATTTTAGTTTTCTATTATTTAAGTTATATTTTGCTATAAAAATGTAAAACTACCATCTTCTATTTATGTAAAATGTATGTATCTTTTTTAAACTCAATTACTTCCTTTTGTATTGTCTTATTTTGCACTTTTTATGCATGCATTCTGGTCTTTTTGTTGTGTAACTCCATCAAACAGCAGGGCATCTTTTTTTAGCAACCACCTCAGTCACTATATGGCAGCAGATGTTGTCACTGGTATGTTTATGTAACTTATTGTGTTTGTTTGTGTGTTTTCAGGCTTTGCAGGAACACCCGGTTATCTGTCCCCAGAGGTTCTGAGGAAGGATCCATATGGGAAGGCTGTCGACCTCTGGGCCTGCGGTCAGTTTCCTATTTGATCTTCTATCCTCTTATTTTTGTATTAAACTTGAATCTGTCACTTTATACAGACGATACACAGCTGTACAGCTGCTGGAATCCTTTAGTTTTATTTACACATCAAATGGTAAGCATTTTCAATTCAAAATGTTGAGTTGAGTTCAAGGTTTTATACAGTAGCCCAACAAAGCTTTGTTTTTGTTTCGAAAACATGCAAATTGGAACAGATGAAGGGGTCCAACCCAATGACCCCCATTCAGAAGGAATGGACCCCTTCATCTGTTCCAATTTGCTTGTTTTCGAAACAAAAACAAAGCTTTGTTGGGCTACTGTATAAAACCTTGAACTCAATGCTAATTCAGACATTTTAAATTGAAAAAGCTTCCTGGATGGGAAGCTAAACGTCTCCAAACTTGGAAACAAATTCTAGTGGATTTATTTTTCATTTTCTTTTTTTGCAGGGACTTTTAATGTTATTTATGATTTTATTTCTTCCAAAACTCCAAACTGGAACCAACAGCGGAGTTCTGATCTGTTTACCTGTTCAGGTTTAGAATCCCTTTTTTTTGGTCAAACTCTGTATATTTTACTGATTATTTGAAGCCACATCCTCCACCTGAAATCTCAGGTCACCATGCCAACCTCTCCTGGTACTTCCCAGGTCGGAACCTGTTTAAAGTTGGACATTAAACCAGTTTCCTTTTTATTCAATGTGTCTGCCATAGTTTGGACTCTTTGTAAGGTTCTTTGTGATTTTTCTTCAACCTACTTTTCTCTTTGTTTGATCCACAGGTGTGATTCTCTACATCCTGCTGGTCGGCTATCCTCCATTCTGGGATGAAGACCAGCATCGTCTCTACCAGCAGATCAAAGCCGGAGCTTATGATGTGGGTCACGTGACTCAGTTTGATGTCACAGATATGAAGTGAGGCTGCTAAGCCATTAATCAGGCTTTAAGTTGTCTCCTTCTCCACTAGTTTCCTTCCCCAGAGTGGGACACGGTGACTCCTGAAGCCAAAGATCTGATCAACAAGATGTTGACCATCAACCCGGCCAAACGGATCACAGCGGCAGAGGCACTCAAACATCCCTGGATCTCTGTAAGTCTTCATCCCCGCTGCAGCCTCAAGGTGATGAGGATGATGGTAAAATTATGTGCTCTCTTTCTCCCAGCATCGTTCCACAGTTGCATCCTGTATGCATCGACAAGAGACTGTCGAGTGTTTGAAGAAATTCAATGCCAGGAGGAAGCTGAAGGTGAGGATTTTCAAAATAAGAGGCTAAGATCAGTATTACTCTGAGATTAATGTGGCATTATGTCAGACTGCTGCTGACAAAACCAGAAGGTCCAGATTGTAACAGCTTCTTTCTGCAGGGAGCCATCCTGACCACCATGCTGGCCACCAGGAACTTCTCTGGTAAGATCTGTAGATCTCCTTCCTAAGCTGAGTTCAGAGGTCACCTTAGAAGCCAGACTCTTTCTAATTGGCTGTCAGGGTGTCACTTCATGACCTCTGACCTGAAAGTTTGTGTTTCAGTAACAGGAGCTTTAACCACAAAATCCACCAATCAACTGCCAGCATACATGGCGTTGGCAGGTTAGCACTCTGTTCTGTTGTTGTTGTTGTGTGTGGTGATGTTAGCAGCAGCAGCTGTTGTGAACTTTCACAAACTCTGAGGTCTAAAAATAGCAGAGAGGGAAACCACCACGGTCTGCAGCTGTCTGCACATGCTCAGTAAGATTTCCCCAGGAGATCAGGGTGGTTCAGTCAGACTGGTTGATCAAAATCAACCAATCCTGATAAAAAAAAAAAAAAGCCTGCAGTGCCATCCTGTAGGGGATTCCGGACAGAATAAAGGCCTGTTTCTCAGAGCAGAGTATGATCAGTTTTTCCCAAACAGGTCACATCCTAGAGGAATAGTTGAATAGTAAATTCAGTGCTTAAAGGATTGTTTCTGTGCCTTAGAGCAATGTTTAGTTGAAAGGCCCTGAACTCCAACCCAACAAATAAACAAAACAAATGGAAACTGGGAAGCAGGATCTCTGAAATATTTATCATCACTCAAACCAAAGAGTTTTCCAGGATATTTGATGCCAGTTATGGCGCCTCAGGTCAGAGTAAAAATCAGACACACAGAGATGGAATGGGATCCTTTTCCATTCATTCTCCAATATAGAGTCAGTCAGGATGAACTTCCTCCTATGCTTCCTTGTTTTATTCCAACATCTACTGATCCAGACACCAGAGCGGGTCAGAGTAGGCTAATGTCCCGTTCCCACTGGCTGAAAAACCTGCAGTGGAAACAGCTCACTGATTCATGTCTACCCGGGTCATGTGACTCGGCAAGCAATCTGTGTTAAAATCGCCTCGGCTCTAAGCGGCATGCTGTGGGGACACCAGACCCGGGTTGACCCGCTAAATTACATGACAGCATTGAACACATGTCATCACACCGCGCCAGTAGCTTCTGATCTAACAAGCCAAACATCTCGCTCTACATTCGATATACATGGAGCAGCGCTGGTTAGAGGGAAACAGACAGATTAAAAAACAATAAAGCTCACTGGCTAGCTACCCTGGCTTCCTTACATCTTACTCTCCATTGTTTACTTTTCTGATTTCTGTCGCACTGATGACATCATCAGCCAGCAAGATAGTGTGACCAGACACGCAGCGGTGGGGGGACAGAGGCCACGCAGCTTGCCAGCGAGGGGTTAGACCCAGCTTTTTTTGCCAGTGAGAAGGGAGCCCGATACCGATTGTTAGTGGGTCGACCCATGTTTGAAAAACACGTTCAAACACGTTATTTTCTGAAGGAAAGAGGCAAAACATTTCAATAAAGGACCAGAGTAAAATAAAGAGCGCGGCTGCTAAAGAGGGACAAAGGTGGACCAGGTCTCCCTTACCTACAGGGTCATTACCTAGCAGCTCGGCAACGACCATGGAGCTGTTTATACTCATATAATTCATTCAGTTTAATAAAACTTTATTGATCCCAGAGGAAATTTGAACACTATTTCAACTCATCCAGATGCTGTAGGTGTTGATGCTGGAGGCAGGAAGTATCTTCTGTACAGTTGATCTGGGGAAATTTCTGACTGAAGACACTCTTTTGGTGTTTTAAGAGGCATTATGCAGTTTTCTACTGATACTGCCACCTGTGGACAAAAACAGAACTGCAGCGTTCTTCTGCTCGTTGCCGTTGCTCACCCTCGTTTGCTTTTTTTTTTTTTTTTTTTTTATTTGCTTTTTTCACCTTACCTTGAGTTAAAATTGGTATTTGAGTTGAGCTGGATATCAGTTGCTTCTGAGTTCCCACAAAATCCATCTGGAATCTAACGCTTCAATTGCTTGCTAGGTTGGACCCATTAAACACGGACATGCTGGACGTCACATCTGCAGAACAGCGCAGGAACTTCTGACTCAAAGCACATTTGGGAAAATAGGCTACAGGCTGATAAGTGCATCAGAGCTGAACTACTGAGGTGTCATTCTGGTCATCAAACCATGAATTAGCACTAAAGATTCAAATAAAAAGGCTATTTTAAAGATATTTTTCAATAAAAGCTCACATAATGTCTCTTTAACAATCTAATGAAGAGGACGCTCGCTGTTGTCCATAATTTTCTTCACTTAAAGAAGAAACCTTGGGTAATACTCTCTATAGTTTCTATTGCAGTTCTTAGAACAGAGCCAGCCCTGTTTATCAGCTGTTTAAGCTTCTTTCAGTCATTTTCTGCGATAATGTTATCCCAGCAGATGATTGAGGAAGAGATCCTACTCTGCATGTAAGACTGATTTTTGCTGCAAATACTGAAGGACCTAAGCTTCCTTAGGAAGTCCAGTCCCTTCTTGTAGATGGCTTCACAGTTGCGTCTCCAGTCTAGTATGTCCAGGGGTCTAACAAGGTCTTTATACTGCCCTGCCCCTTCTTTTCTTCTCCCATGACAAAAACAAAACAGTGGATTTGCAGTCAAGTCCACACACTCCTCAGAACCTGAATTGTTGCCTTCAGGTCATGTAACGGAGCCCATCGCACCACTCCTTGAGCCAAACCTGGAAAGGCCAGCTGTAGGAGGACTAAGGAGGTCCATCTTTCCAGCAACAACACAGAAACTGATCCTTGATAAGGTCTCCAACCTCTGCCCGGTGTGGTAGTCCTCCCATCCTGCTTTAAGCCAGCTATAATCAACCCGAGTCCAACATGGTCTCATATCTCCAGCTTTGATGATCATTGTCCTGTGGCACAGAGACTGTTCCTGCAGCACAGGGGCTCTAAGACCACCACCCCAGACTGACCTTCATTGTTTAAACAGGTCCAGAGACAGAGGCAGCCATTTTGACTGTTCTACGCTTTAGACTGCAAATCACCTGGTGTTTCTGCTTCTGTTGTCAGACAATTGAGAAATTTCCCCTCCAGGGTCACTATCGAAACATGACAACATCAAACCTGATGAGTTACTCAGATCCTCTATAGGCGCCTATCTACCCACATGGAGTGAATGAATAACAGGCATGCAGGTTGAGCTACAGGTGCATCTTGTCACCTGAGATACTCCTCAAACTGTCAAGATCCTGTTGTGAGTCTGGAATAATAATAAAATTATCACAGAATAATGTGGTTTTATCAGCTGTTTGAACATTCAACTAAGCACAACAGGGACTACGAATAGAGCCCTCTGACAAAAGCAATTCAGTATATATGCTAATCAGTCTTTCATATTCTAGTCAGTCTGTCATATCCTAGTAGCTTCTCTCATATCCTAGACAGTCTCTCATATATATGTATTTATATACTTTATATACTGTATACACTACCGTTCAAAAGTAAAGCACTGTACTTTTCAATGAAGATAACTTTAAACTAGTCTTAACTTTAAGGAAATACACTCTATACATTGCTAATGTGGTAAATGACTATTCTAGCTGCAAATGTCTGGTTTTTGGTGCAATAACTACATAGGTGTATAGAGGCTAATTTCCAGCAACTATCATCACATTTGTGGGGTCAATTAAATGCTCAAAATGGCCAAAAAAAGAGAACTTCCATCTGCAACTCGACAGTCTATTCTTGTTCTTAGAAATGAAGGCTATTCCATGCGAGAAATTGCTAAGAAATTGAAGATTTCCTACAACGGTGTGTACTACTCCCTTCAGAGGACAGCACAAACAGGCTCTAACCAGAGTAGAAAAAGATGTGGGAGGCCGCGTTGCACAACTGAGCAAGAAGATAAGTACATTAGAGTCATTAGTTTGAGAAACAGACGCCTCACAGTTCCCCAACTGGCTTCTTCATTAAATAGTACCCGCAGTAGCCTGTTTGTGCTGTCCTCTGAAGGGAGTAGTACAAGTTAAGATTAGTTTAAAGTTATCTTCGTTAAAAAGTAAAGTGCTTTTCGTTCAAAAATAAGGACATTTCAATGTGACCCCAAACTTTTGAATGGTAGTGTATATATATATATAATTTGTGTATATGTATATATAAAATGTGTGTATATGTATATATATGAATCCTGCACTTAAATCCATAGCATTTTTCATTCAGTTCCTTCCTCAGAAACGAGCCCATTATAAAACGAGAAAAGCATAACAATCAGCACCAAAGAAGCAGTTTACCATCAGAGCACCTCAGTAGAGCAGCCTGATGGTGGTCCAAAGTTCTGATAGTTTAGGTGCAGACATCAATGTGTCTGTCAGCAGCAGCAGCAGCCGGACAAAACCAGACAGTGTGTTCTATGTTGGCCTGCATCTGTTGGCTGTGGACACTCAGGAATGTGACCGACCCTCTACTCTGCAGCTATCTTAAGTTGATCCTAAATTTGGCCACACATCAGGGCGGGACCTCCCTCCATCTTTGCCCTGACAGCTGACCCACCGGCAGGTTTCCCTCTGAACTCAGCTTTCCGCTCTGAGAGCCCGGGTTCTCCTGCAGGAAACACCCAGACCATGCCGTCTCTGCTCTTCTCTGCATTTGTTCCTTTCTTTCTCACTCTGTTGCTTCTGTTTCTTTTCATTCTCATCCCTCGTTCAGGAGGAAAGAGTGGAAGCAACAAGAAGGCAGATGGAGTCAAGGTAATAACCTCAGAGAGCAGCATGAACAGAACCAGAACCAGTAAGTTCCACTCTCACACTGACACACTGACTGTGCACTGTTTGCTTCTGTAGGAGTCATCTGAGAGCACCAACACCACCATCGAGGATGAAGACACCAGGGGTGAGCTTGATCTGGTCCACAGACCTTTAGCTCAGAGATGGACCCACTAACTGTGTGTGTGTGTGTGTTTGTCTCAGTGAGGAAACAGGACATCATCAAAGTAACGGAGCAGCTCATCGAGGCCATCAGTAATGGAGACTTTGAGAGCTACACGTATGTAACACAATTCACCGAGCTCCTCTTCACAGGCTTTTATTGTGAAGGTCCGTCATGGCTCTGATGCTCCAGGCTGACAGCAGGCTGCTGTCCATGCAGGGATTATGGACATCTCCTAACAGACATTAGCATAGCTAAAGGTTCTAGAAACGTTTAAAATGTTCTAGAAATATAGATCTCTGTTTGGCCATCAGGTTGTCAGCTGCTTTCTATTCAGATCCTGATCCACAAATGGTCCAAAGTTCAGCTCTGAGACACTAAGCAGGAAAAGCGACAATTCAGCTTCTAGCTTTTCGTTCTAGTCTGGCTGAGAACGGGCAGGAAACCGTTGGGTCCAGAACCACACAGAACCATGGTCCTGGATGGTTCCAGAACCAGCAGCTCTTCACCCAAATTCTCTCATCTCAGTTTTTTTATCTGCACTGAGGGATCTTCAGAACTGTTCTGTTCTGCTAAACCAGAACTTTCTGATCCAGACTTGCTTAGTCCTCCTTAACTGTCCTGTTTGTGATGCATTCAGGTTCAGGTTAGTCATATGCAGAGACCTGCTGTCCCTGCTGGTTCTGGTCTGGCTGATCAAACCTTAGACTCAGATCTCAATCTCAGAATGGAACCAGAATCTTCTGCTTCTGGCAGCAAAACTGTTTGAACTTTCATCAACTTTTGAATTTATGATTATTTTCTAGGTATTTGTTCTCCTAAAGGAATCAATGTTCCGTCTGTAAAGAACGTCTTTCTCTGTGTTCAGTAAAATGTGCGACCCGGCTGTGACGGCGTTCGAGCCCGAGGCGCTGGGGAACCTGGTAGAAGGCTTAGACTTCCACCGCTTTTACTTTGAAAACTGTGAGTTTGTCTGAGTGTTTGAAGGACAGGCGCTGCCCTCTCACCTGCACAAGTAACCTTGGTATCTCTGTTCTTGCAGTGTGGTCTAAGAACAGTAAGCCGGTCCACACCACCATCCTGAATCCCCACATCCATCTGGTGGGCGACGAGGCCGCCTGTATCGCCTACATCAGAGTCACACAGTACATCGACTCCAACGGCACCCCTCGCACCGCCCAATCAGAGGAGACTAGGGTGTGGCACCGGCGTGATGGGAAGTGGCAGATCGTTCACTTCCACCGCTCAGGGTCACCCTCCACCCTAAACAAGTAAGAACAGGTCAACGGGAACAGTCCTGAAGGCCTCATGAGAGTCCGTACAAAAAAACCAGTCCGAACTATTCTTTGTATTCAGGGTTCTGTGAAATGGCTATTTCCATTCAGTGGTACCAAAGGAAAAGATAAAGTTCATTTGGGAAACAAAATAACTTCAGGTTCCTACGTATTCTACAGGACCCCGAACACACCCTGAAGCTCCCAAATCTAAGCAGCTAAAGAACTGGGCTGAACTTGTCGGCCTCATCTTCAATGTCATTGTTGATCCTGGATAACAAAGAAAGGAGTCGTTATAAGAAATTGATCAGCCAATCAGACACTAGCTACATTTACCTTTGGAAATGTCGAGCATGCGATCTAAACCTCAACTGCATCTGACATCCTTTCTAACCCCTAAATCCCTCAATCTCTATATAGAATGGGGACAACATAGTGGGGTTTATAGTGAACTCAGGTAACTTACAGTTCGGACAGATAATCACTACTTTTCTCTCCCCGTTGGCCACGTGACTCCACCTCCCTTTTGTCTCTGCTGTCAGATAGCGACAGCTGTAGGCAACAGCAGCTGCTGAGAAAACATATCCCATGATGCTTTGCAAGGACAGCTCTCCTCGCTAAGCATTCCTGGATATATCTGCTCGTCTAGTGACCATGGATGATCATTACTTTTCAAGGTGGATTCTGGCAAATTTCGAATCCACCACTTCTTGATACACTAGACATTCGGACAGTCATTTAAAATGGCATGACCAGTATGTAGCCCCCTATATGGTTATTAGGGTGGAAATTCAGACAAAGGTTATTGTTCAGAAATTCAAATCTCTGTTTCCATGACACACCAAATAAAATGACCCGATCCTGACGTGTGTTAGAACTGTATAGCTTTCGGGAAGCGCATTAGTAGTAGAAGAAGAAGCTTTTGTAAATAAACCCGTACTTATCCGGTCCTCCTCAGCTTTAGTTCTCTCTCTTTATTCTTGCTCCTCTTATTTATTTTTCTTCAGTTCTTCAGTCTTGTTGATGTTTTTTTTTCCCACTATGGACCTTTGTGGCATTATATTTTTGTTTTTGCTGATCATTTTAGGCGCTCAGTGATACCTTATACTAACATTCCTTAGCTACAGGGGCAGAGGGCAGGATTTTCATCCTTACATTACATTTAGAGCCATCTCCTCCACCAAGAAGACCAAAAGCCAGAGGATGAAAGCCAGTAGAGGGAAAAACATCCGGCTGATGATTTTACTTCAAAGATCGGAATGGGTGTGGACACGGACGGCAATCAGATAAAAACCTCTGTCCATCGGAAGGAAATTTCTTTCCAATGTGACCAAATTGGATTTTGACTCACATCTGATCAGGCCTTAAGTCAGTTTATGTGTCCATGGAAACGTAGTGAGGTTTTTGCTATTCTAACCTTGTCAACTTATACAAAAGGTGGTTCCACATTTTCCTCCACTGTCCAGCTGTCCACCATGTTGAATAGAAAAACTCAGTGTAGTACAAAAATGTTAATGTCAGCTGATTGTGCAACAATACATTTCCAGGCTAAAAAAGGAAAACGTAAACTCTAAAAAACAATGGTTGCCTTTTATAAATGTTTAATTTGATAAGGAATTCTAGTTTCTAGATCTTTTCTAGCCGTATTTTTTAAAAATTGGTCCCGATAAATCCTACATACCAAGTCAGGAATTCCCATTTATGTGATAGGCAATGTTTGTCTAATCATGGAAAATCTAAACAAACTTTCAAAGAAGGAGCTTATTGGATACAAAAGTAGTTTGTGTCCTGCTAATATTCCTGACCACGTCAGGGTCAAAGAAGATGTTTGGTTTGTCTGGGAGGGAACTACTGTAGGAGGACAGGAGGTTTCTGGACCATAGACTTATCTAGACAGATGTATCTTCACAGGGTTCATCAGAGGGTCAGGTTCTCTTCCATCCTCGCTAATGTCAGGTGTTAGCCTCATTAGCTAGCTACCACAGACAGGTGTAGCATTATCCGGCCTCCATCTTCTGGGCCCAGATGGTCGGGTTTTTTCAGGTCCTGAAGGGTCGAAGCTTCATGCCATAGGGGCTAAGATGATTGAGATTGTGATTCTCCTTCATTCCCTCCAGTCTTATCACCGGTACCACTGACAGGAAAACAGCCCCGCAGCATCATGCTGCCTCTATCTTGCATCTAAATGTCTAAAGAAAGGTCTTTCTCTGTTTCTTTGTTCTGCAGCTAACATCCTCCTCCAGAGTGGGTGGGGCTCCGATGGGGCTGCTGTCGCCTTGACAACAGGATGATTGACAGCAGGCCAGCTGTTGTCTGACACCAACCATTCAGCGTTTGCTTTGAGAAGTTGGAGGCGTTAGAAAGCCTCGTCAGTTAATCCATCTGTCATCCAACCAGTCAGCTCCGTCCGCTCTCCCTGCTTTTTTAACTGACCAATCAGCTCCCTCGGTGCAGGAACAGGTTGTTTCATTGGTAGGAAACCTTGCATCTCCAGCTATACTCAAACAGCGCCCCCTGGAGTCAGAACCTCATACTGAATAGCACCTATTATTAGCTCCTCGTCATGTTACTGAGCATGTGCAGGAATCTCTCTGTTTACACCATCATGTTCCTACGTCACATCAGGCATTTATGACCATTAATGAACCCAATCTGTGCTGAAAGTGAACAGAATCAGAGTTCTTGGTCAGAACCTCTCCATAGATACAAGGTTTCCCCCTGCTGGTCAGTTTAGGTATATGTAGTAATAAATGATGGTTTATTGTTGTCCTCAGAGATGAGCAGCCAGGTCGGCTTTATGCTGATGATATCCTGATCATCTTAGAGTTTTTTTCAGTTTATTCAGAGTTGATGGAACGCCTCCATCTACAGCTGACGTGCCCTCTGTTGTTCAGAGAGCTCCAGAAACTTCCAGCTTCTCCAGCATTCGATCTTCCACTGACATCCACCCCTCCCCACCCAGGGAGGGCCTAACGGGGTACCTTAACGAGCTGTCTGCTGCCAGTGCTCCTCCTCCATCCGCTGATGGAGGTTTACTGTTTGTCTGATATGTTTTCCAGAGAGAGGAAGAAAGCAGAGAGGGAAGGAAACAGGAAGAGGAAAAAGAAGGAATCTTGAAAAAAGTTTGAAGAATCCAGACTGTTCTTTAATTTGAACAACTAGATGTTTTCAGAACAAACCCAAACAGCCAATCACAAGACAGAAGAACACAAGTTCACATCTCTGAAGCAGGAAGGGTGACTTTCTCAGCGCGGTTTAAGTCCACCAGGTTGGACCCTTTTCCTCCCGTCCTTAGTCAGCGCAGTTCGGTTCTGTTGGACCTGGGCCGCCTTGCTTTGACTGTCTGACCCAAACTGAGAAGGTTCTCTGGCCAAACCCTGTAGAATAGAACTGACCTGAGTCAAGTGGAGAAGGGTCAGTTCTGGATCCATGTCCAACCACAGCCCTGACTGGGAACGACATGAAGTAGAGCAGAACTACAAAAGGAGAGGGAACTATTTCACACATTCTACCGTTAAAACCCGGGTTCATTAGCAGGTAACCCTCCAGACTCAGAGACCCCGAAGTAAAATCCAGTAGAATCAATGACTTACAGAAGTCCAGCAGCTGGGATTTTAATCTGAGTGCTGCTGATCTGTTCCTGCCCTCAGAGGTTCTTTAGAGAACAACTAGGAACCCAACAGACAGCTCAAGGAAGAGGTTAAGGTCTAGAATGTCTCCCAGACTTCTGATCCATTCATCATCTGAACATGGAGATGGACCAACTGCAGAGACACCAGGACATGGAGGACCAACTATGATGGATGAGGAGAGCATAGATCAGAGAAGAAGAGCAGTGTGGAAGTTCCGGTGGAGCTGCAAGAATCAGGAGAATCTACAACTAGGACAACGTTTCACTAATCTGGTCTCAGTGGTCAAAGTCCCGCTTGAAAGAAAATCAAACAAAGCAGCCATGAGGACCAAATAGTTCTGATCACAGGAGACCAGAACAGAACTTTTGGTTCTACATGTAAACACTGTGTGGAAGAAGACTGTGAACGCACCCATGTGGAAGCATGGTGGTGGCAGTATCTTGCTGTGGGAGGTGTTCCATTTCCTTCAACAGGATCGCCACCTTAAACAGCTCAGATTACACCATCATAGTTTGGAATGCCCTAGTTAAAGTCCAGGCTTAGATCGGACCAAGATACATCAAAACAGACGTTCAGTGATCTTCTCCTTCCAGCTGAAGGAGGTTCTACATAGTTCTGACTCCAGCTTCTTCTGCTCTACAGTCATGTCCTTCACATTCAATCCAAATAAAATCCATTCAGGTTTGTGGTTCGGCCGTTTGTACCAGGTTGGACCAGGTTGGACCGGGTTGGACAGAGAAATGATTTGAGTTCTGCTGCAGGTTCTGAGCACGTTTGTTTCAAACTGAAATAAAAATCAAACATCCTTAAACCTCAACATGAGAATAATTTGGGTCATAATACTACACGTTGAAATGGATCAGAACCCGCCTCAAGACCATCTAGACCTGTTGATTTGAAGATAGACTTGGCTGGTAGGTCTGTAAGTACAGGTTCTTGTCTGTGGGTCCAAACAGTTCGAGGTTCAACCCTAAAACATTAAGAGTTCTGAAATTAACCACTTCCTGCATCAAAACCAGAACACTTCCTGGTTCTGATGTTGGATTGCGGTGTCTATAAAGGCGTCCTTAGACATAACCCTGTATCGGACTCCATTGGACTCCTGTTGGGTTTGTTCTGAAGTTTTTTTAAGATTCTTTTTTCAAGCTGAGCTGGAGGATGAACTCGGTATGTCAGCAGCTCCGTCCGGGCGTCTCTGTGGGCCTGAGATGTTTGGAGGTTCTGATGGACCTTCTGCATGGACAGCTCCTATTCTTCCTCTTCGGTGACGATGTTCTGTACAGACTTTCTGCATGCTGGACTCAGTGTTTAGTGTTTGGGCTTCAGGCGCCGCTGCGTTCCGCACATTCACGGCTGGCGGACTCTCTGTCTCCAAGGTTTAGCCCTGTTAGCATTCCTCATTGGGAGCTAAGGGCCCGTTAGCCTTGACCTAATGAAACGCAGGCGGAGCCAACTTTGATATTCTGCCACTTTTGAGCCGTTGTGTTAGTCTCTGAAGCTTTAAGGAGCTTTTTACCGTCAGGAGAATGTAGAACTTTGTACAATCAGATTCTTACCATGATGATGATATTAATATTCCCCATTTATGGCTTCTGTATATTTAAAAGCTTTTTAATGTTGGGATCAGACGTCCTTCCAGTGCTGTGAGCTGCTATGAGCTTTCTGATCTCATGATGCGATTTGATGTTAGCAGCTGCTGAATGTTTTGACTCTGCTGCTCTTCGGTTTGCTCCACATTAATTTGGGGAATGCCTGGAGTCCAGGTGGAGGAGACAGACCGCCTGGGTGTGGGCAATCCTTAGGGCGGAGCCTCTACAGGCTGTTTAGGCCACACTCACTGCCTCAGGATCTGCATAAAGCTGATCTAGAACCTTTGGTTAGGGTTCTTGAAATATCCCAAATAGATTCAGTGGCGCCACCAGGGCATTGCACAGGATGGCCATGGCCACTGGCCACCCCAAAAGTCACCCCACTAGCCAGCGTAAATTGTAGTAGCATCAGTTTAGCATTTCATCCCATTATGCACAATCAGCAATGTATCATTAAAAATCACGCAATAAACCAAGATATGAGTAAGTGATTACTTGCAGGTTTACCACAGTAGTAGATTCAAACCCTAATTATGACTTTTAGTTTCAGTTTGCCACCCCAAGATTTTTATTGGCCCCATTTGGCCCCCCTATGAGATGTTTCTGGAGGCGCCACTGAATAGATCCCCCCCTCGGTCTGCGGTGTCGCCCCAGCCTGGACTCCAGGTGGCACCACAGCGTTTTCTACAGCTTTCATTGGTTTCTACAGCTGCACCTTCACTCTAAACTCTTACGACACTTGAAAGTACTAATCTGTGGTGACCGATGCAAAAAAAATTCTCCCTGCAAATACCTGAGATGTCATTTTTTAGAGACGTTTAGTGTTTGATGCTTGAAGCTGAGTAAATTTCTGTCGTTCTTCTATAAAGAAAAGCTCTGCTGTTGTTCAGCTGCTGAACGAACCCAAAGCAGCGGAGCCGCTGGAACACAGACACCTTCAGGATCTGGACTCGTACGGGTGGGAGGTTCATGATGTGGGACCTCACCCGCAGCTCTGCAGACGGCAGCCGGTTGGGAAGCAGGAGGATGGTGTGACTCCACCTCACAGGAAGAAGCTTTACCTTCAGGCTTCCTGCTGGTTGTTTACATCCAACAAACTGTTCAGAATGAATCAGTGACGCTGCTGAATGTGCTCTGGTTTAAGGTCTGACCCAAAGAGACTCAGTCCTCCTGTTTTTTTGTCAGCTGTTGCTCCGAGGAACCAATCAGATGCTCAATAAGCCCTCACATCCTCAGCTTTTCTACTATGGTGATATTGTAGTGTATGGTGTTATCTGGACTTCTGCTGCATGCTCGGTGTGTAACTGGGAGTCTGAGGGTGAGAGTGTGTTTCTAAATGGTTTCTTTTGTAGCTTTTGGAGTCATTTCTTCTTCTGCATTGTGTTCAGTATGATTCTGTAAATAAACCAAGATGGTCAAACTCTGTTTTCTGATTGGTCTCTTTTTCAGGACAATAAGAGGTGTGCATCTAGTCGCCCCACCTCAGCCATAGCTGCAGATGTTTGACCTTTAAACCAGCTTCGGTGATGGGGTTAGGGAGCATGAGAAGACATCTGAGGTGGAGAAATCAGAAGATTTCAGACCCAACATAAAGTTGTTTATGCCATAGATGATTAAATGTAAGGAAAAGGAAAATACAGATTTAAAATAATAAAGAAATAAAGGAGATCCACCTTCTGGATGGTTTACAATCCAAAAGGTACTGAGCTCTGAAGCATTGGACCAGCTGCAGCACATGCTGGGTGGCCTCCACTTCCAGACGATGTTGCTCATTAGACGGGGTAAATTTCAGAAGGCGGCATAGATGAGAGGGTGTATGGCCAATCACAACTGTAGAAACAAACACAATTTGGCAGCTGCTGTGTTTCTGTTAAATTTAAAGCCAATGCCAGTTTATTTGTGCAGCACCTTTCAATTCAAAGACAATCCAAAATGCTTTACATAAAATAAACAGAAAAAATAAAAGGAAATGAAGATAAGAACACAATAAAAGCAGGTAGTAAAACCAATGAAACAGTTGGACTACAACCTTAAACTAATGATATCTCAGTTAATAGTTTAACTTCAAAAGTCAAAGGCAGTTCTAAACAAATGGGTTTTTAGGTTGACTTCAAGAACTCAGGCTTTCAGCACCTTTACAGTCTTTGGGAGTTTGTTCCAGATCAGTGGAGCATAGGAACTAAATGCTGCTCCTCCATGTTTGGCTCTAGTTCTGGGTGGACAGAGTAGCCTGGAACAGAATAATCGGTTATGTATTGAGGTGCTGATCCATTCAAAGATTTATAGACTAACAGAAGGATTTTAAAGTGTATTCTCTGAGATACAGAGAGCCAGTGGAAGGACTTCAGAACCAGGTTGATGTGCTCTACTTTATTAATGAGAACATTTAGAGCAGCATTTTTGATCAGCTGCAGCTGTTTGATAGACTTTTTTGGCAAACTTATGAAGACACTGTTGCAGTAATTAATTCTACTAAAGATAAATGAATGAATAGGTTTCTCTAAATCCTGCTTCAACATTAGTCATTTAATCCTGGAAATGTTCCTCAGGTGATAAAAGGCTGGCTTAGTAACTGCCTTTATGTCCATTAGGGCACCAAGATTTTGGCCATCCTGTTAACGTAGGTATACTTAGAAATAAAGGAGCAGACAAAGTAGCTAATAAAATCTAAACTAAAACTAATATTATAAATATACTGTATGAGAAAGCAGAAGCCAAGAGAATAAAAGTAATTTGAAAAAAGAGGAATCAATGGCAGGATAGGTGGGACAATGATATAATTGGAGGGGATTATTATAGTGTGTAGAAATCTACACATGCAAAGGATGTGACTAGAAAGAGAAGAGAATAGTTTGCCCATATTAAGATTTGATCATACTGGGTTAAACAAAACATTTTTAGATGAGGTAAAAGTCAAATTGATGAATGTTTAGTATGTAAAATATGAGCAATTGTAGAACATGTATTATTACTGTGTAGGAAACATGAAGAAGAAAGTATGAGATTAAAACAAAAGATGAGCCAGGGAGGGAGATGAATCTTAGAAGTTTAGCAGGAACAACAGGAGAGGAGATTCAAGAAAAACAAAAATATAGAAATATATCATAAGATTTAGTTAGAATTAGATATTGCAGTTTTTTTAACTTCTAATTTGAAGTGATCCTCGCCTATTTTGCATACCCAAATGGAAAAGAAATAATTTAGGAACTGTAAGCCCAAATTACATGTGTT